TTGTATAGGTACTTAAAGCTTTCACAAAAACACTTCCTTCACACTACGTTTATAGAACAAAAGAAAGTTATATTTCCTTTGTCACTTCTCGTTAAAAGCACTCTTTGTAAATAATCACTTTTACAATCTTCATTTGTATGTATGTACATTTTACAGGCATGATATAGTCTTTCATATTATTGCAGCTCTTGCCGTTTTGTGCTTATAAAAAAAAAGCAGTCAGATGATTAGAAAAAATTTTTTCTCCATGTACCACGACCTCTTGGTCTGTAACCACCCCGCCCACCCGATCTATTTCCTCTAAATCTACCTCTACCTGTAACAGAAACATAAACAATCTCAATAGCACGCCAAGTACACGCTTGAAAATCTGTTAATTGATCTTTTTTAAATACCATAATTTGATGATATGTTTGAACTGTATTTGCCACTAGGTGGAGTATATATTTCTCTCTTACTTTTGTCCTCTTTACTACGCTTATTTGAGTTATTATCATTGCCGAACGTAATTGGAGTATGTCTCTTCTGGGCGGACGAATTCTTCTCGTTCTAATACAATTACAATTAATTTTATACACTCATATGCAACGACGTGTTTTGAAGTGGTCACAAATTAGATTTATAGTTACCTTCTTGTCGGTGACTGATGTCTTCCACGAGAGATGTATAACACTCTTAAAGCTAGGTGGTGAATGAAACAGATCTTTAATTAATGTATTAATGTTATTGGTTGTTTTTAGCGCTACAACTTTTAACTGATTTTCCTCCGATTTCAATTCCTCCTCGGTTTTGCCGCTGATCGCTTCCCGTAACTTTTTTATGTAACCTTGAATACCACGCGCAAAATATTGTAACCTTAATCTGAATTCTTTAAGCTGTTCCGGGTCTTTCATTAGAAATTCGGGTATTTGTTTGCATAATTTATGAAATGCATACATAAGACATTCAACGTGACTGAACTGCAATTTTGGTACCTCCGTTATTTCGGTTGCTGGCGGAAGTGGCATATATGTCTAGAAGAATGAATTATAAATATTACTTACTGTAAAACAAAGTTAAAATATATATATGTATATGATATCCAAGGATTGCCATAACTTACTATAAGAGTGTTATAAAGTTGTTGTACTTTCTCTTCTGGTTTATCAATTGTACCACAAAATACTGCTAATTCAGCAAGGAGCTTTAATAATTCCAATTGAATATCTCTGCCATCCGGAGCAGTGATTAAAGAGAGATGCGGTAAAACTTGTACACAAATGTAAGACACGAAACGTGAAGAATCTATTTGAGACTACAACAAGAAAGTAACGGTATTATATACTTAAAAAGAAGTATTATATATATAAATTTAAAAAAGAAAAACTAATACTCACACTAAAAAATGGAAGTGCATGCTTGATACACTGTACAAGCCTATTCCATTGTTCAACATTAGTATGTTTGAATGGTTCAGATAATTCAGCTTGTTCTACTGTAATATCTACTAATTCTTGTTGTCCATTAACCGTCGAGCCTAGTCTAGTCCAGGCAAGAATTTCCATGATACTATGGAACTCATCAGCTGTCACATCCTACATGGAAAAAGATATTATGAAAATTTATTACTAATGAAATAATGTAACATAAATATTCTAATCATATATAATTATATTGATCTTACTTGTAATACTTTCTTGCATTCTGAAATTAACAAGTCCTCTGGTTCCTTAGTGATAACATCATGACCTATTGCTTTCAGTTTTGTTGCTAAAAATTTAATGCAACGCTCGCGCGTTCCATCATCACCGTTAATAATTTGACTGAAAAATCCACTTATTGTACCTACAAATGTGCATATTATAAAGAAATACAATTAATATATTTTATTATATTTTTTATACATTTAATGTTTTCTATAACTCATGTACATTTCTTATAGAATATAGAAAGAACGTATTGCTGTACCTTTTGGATCAGACTTCATAAGCGACATTACACTATTGTGAACTACAGCTAATTCCGATGGATCCTGAGCTTGGAGTAATTGAGCTAAAATGTCTGCAATTCTTGCTGTATGTTCTTTATTATCCTTACATAATGCAGGCAAATCTTTAATAGCTTGTTTTCTAATCTATAAACAAATCATATATGTTTATATACATATATATATTTTTGTAATATGTATATTCTATTTACATACTCTATTTACGTTACATCTATATGTTTGCATGTATATGATACGCGATTCTGTAAATAACCTGACAATTATAATATACAAAAGGCAAGAAAACTCACAGCCATGTCTTCATCTTCGCAAAGATCTAAATGAGCATCTATAGCTTGATCAGCCAATTTTGGAAAATATTTAAAGAACCTTGCTATGAATTGCGATGCTAATCGTTTTTCTTTGGGTGAACCTTTCACTGCTGTAAGAATTTCTAGGTATTCCTTCTCATGCTGTAACATATCAAAACAAGAATTTCAGATTTGATTACACATACACATATGCATAGATTTACCGCTTTCTCCGCATAATTATATACATAAGAAATTCAATTACACATGTGATATAAATAACGCATTATATATTGTTCGACTTGTAAATTTTCAAAATTTCAAAAATTTGATAAATAAAACGCTAAGATCAATCTCGGAATACACATTTTGCCTCTACTGAACTGAACGTGATTATTGAATATAACCATTTTTGTACGTTACCTCGGCCAATTTATCTTTGGCGTCAGCAAGAATACCAAAATTTTTGTACAGCTTCTCGATACTATCCGTGCTCATGTTAAACCTTTTATGTAATCTCGACACTTAAAGGCACAAGACACATAAATACGATCATGTACTCAAAAATCAGAAATCTAGCCGGCCACGCACCACGCCAAGAAACGACAAAGATGGCAGCGATTCCATCTGTATACATATATACTCAAAGAACAATTGAATAAACCGTTTCACCGTGGCGCTCAAGTCGAAGTTATCAATTATTCTTTTTAAAATACGATGAGAAAACGTTAAACATTTTATGTACAAACTAGTACTAAAGTTGTATTAAAATGTTAATGAAATTAAGAAAAAAAATAAACTCACTATATTATTGTGATCCCCATAAACGTGTTATACATTGTTTACCAGATATATGTAGAATAAGTATAAATGAAATACGAATGTTTAATTAGAAAAAAATTTTATGTTTTCAATAAACTCTGTGTATACATATAAGATTTATAAAAATGTAATAAAAATATTTTCAACATTTATAGTTTCTCTGTAAGTTCAGGCACAGCCTTAAACAGATCAGCAACAAGACCATAATCGGCTACTTGAAAAATTGGAGCTTCTGGATCTTTATTAATGGCAACAATCGTTTTCGAATCTTTCATACCAGCAAGATGTTGAATGGCTCCAGATATCCCCACAGCAATATATAAGTCCTACAATGCGCAAATTAAAATGTAAACACATTAAGAAGACAAAAATGATAAGACTATAATTAGAGATTTATTTACAGGGGCAACAATTTTTCCAGTTTGTCCAACTTGCAAGTCATTGGATACAAAACCAGCATCAACAGCAGCACGGGATGCACCAACAGCTGCATTAAGCTTATCAGCCAACGCGTACAGCAATTTAAAATTGTCTCCAGATTTCATTCCCCTCCCTCCAGAAATAACAGCCTTTGCAGATGTTAATTCTGGTCTGTCAGACTTTGTCAATTCCTGTTTAATGAACTCAATCAGATTGGTCTTATAATCACCAGCAGGTGCAGGATCAGATTTGGCATTGCCTCCTTCCAAAGGTGCTGGTTCAAATGATGTACCCCTTACAGAAAGTACTTTTACATTATCTTTGCTCTTTAAAGTTTGAATTGCATTCCCTGCATAAATTGTACGAACAAATGTGTCTGGTGCTTTAATTCCAATGATATCACTTATCGGGGACACATCCAACTTGGCTGCAACCTTTAATAGTCAATTTCATATTATATTGACTATCAATGGAATAAATACTTTTATATAAAACTTTCAATTGTACATATTTACCCTCGGTAGTAATGCTTTGCCGAAAGCAGTGGCTCCAGCCATAATATGAGTAAATTTGTGCTCATTCTGCGTTGCAATAATGAGTGGAGTTAATACTTCTGGAAGAAATCCTTTAAACACATCATTATCCGCTACTAAAACTCTGGAAACACCATTTGCTTTACTAACAGCTTGTGCAACTGGATCACATTTTGTTCCAGCGATTAATACAGTTATATCACCACCAATCTTCTTTGCGGCACTTAATGCATTGCAAGTAACAGGCGATACTGATGCATTATTATGTTCAGCAATAACCAATGTAGATTCATAACGTGCCAATGTACCAAACTATAAATGGCAATTAGTCTAATTAACTTTAGAAGTTGACAAGATAAAACGTACATATCGTATGAACGTGGTTAACGCATGAAACAAATGAAAATAAAAAAAAAACAATTGAAATTATCATTACTCACTTTGTTACTAAATCGCGATGTTTTTAAAAACGTGGCAAACATTTTTTGCAATTGTAATTGAACACAGATGCTTCTTAATTCGTTATTAAACTACTGACTAAAATTAATTCGTATCTAAAGTCCAAAGTCTTTTAACAAGAGGATAACAACTACAACGTTCGTTGTCTTATAGAAACTTAACAGATTGATAAAGGATTTGATAACAAGTATAAACAAGAGTAATGGATTCAAATTTTTTAAATGTGATCAAGTTATTAAATATTATGACGAATTGAAGTATACCATTCGAAGCAAGTGTATTTTAGGAATAATCATTAAAATCATTTAAACAGTGAACTTTTGAATCATTGTTTAAATTAATATAGATAATTTCGTTTTTTTTAAATCTAACATTAATAAGCTGTATGTACACTGCAATAAATGTGTGTTACGAATACTCCTTCAACTCAGATATGGTAAGAATATAAAAATTATTGTGAAATTAATAACATATGGTAATCATTTTTAATATTAACGCAATAAACAAATAATTTTAGAATTTTTAAAACTACTAAAAAGTTACAAATTTAGTAGTTATTTTTTAAGTTTTGGTAATATATGCCTAGTAACATTTTCGTGCATGTAGAAAGTGTTGCAGGAAACAAGGCATAGGGAGTTAATCGTTCACTTCGTGAGTTGTAGCTGATGCAAAATGGTAATGTTTAGGTTATATTTTAATATCCAACGAATTCTTTGTCATCCTATCAGTTACATTAAAACGATTTTCACGAAATTGGTCCTAAGGTATTTATAAATCTTATTATCTGTTTCAGTCGGCTCACAAAACATTTATTATCAAGCGAAAGCTTGCTAAAAAACTGAAACAAAACAGGCCAATTCCTCAGTGGGTTAGAATGCGTACTGGCAACACAATCCGGTAAAATTCATGATATTATACTTATTTGTAATGTAATTAAGTGTATTAAATTAATTCATTGCGAATCGGGTGTATGTTCTTTTTGTTGGGATAATCGATATTTTTAAATTGCATAAAAATAATTGAAAAAAATATGCAGTTGCGTTTGTTTTTTACTTCGTTATAATTTAATTCAATAATTTATGTATATATAATTTATTAAAAGAGTTTTACCGTCAGCATAGATAAAATAATTTTTATATTATTTTGCAGGTACAATGCTAAGAGGCGTCATTGGAGAAGAACTAAATTGAAGCTGTAAATTTCTTGTAATTTATGTTTGCTTCAATTTCCTTACTATATTTTAATTACTGATTCTTAAATAAATTCAACTTAAATACCTAAGCATTTTTAATTTTAATGGAACCTACCATTTAATTACGATAAACACAACAGTGAAGTAATAGAAAAATTAATGCATATTAATAATGAGTGTTATATTTTTTTTGTACACGTATTAAATTACAGAGAACCAAATACTTTGCGACGATTCATTTTGTCCATCCATTCTTGCAACATTTGTTCGCCAGTACCAGGGTCTCTTAAATAGTAATCCTTGGGTGGCTTTCCTTCTTCTAAACGTACAAAGTAATGACAATACTTGTAACGTACCTCCCCTACACGAGATCTGGCATGTCGACGCATTCCTTT